TTTTTTCATTTTGGTAAAATTAATAACAAACTAGACAGTATTTAGTGCAAATATTTATCATCAATTCAAGTTGTCCTACTTCACATCAATTTAGGAAAAGAGAAAATTAACAAATTGAAAATCAGTTGATTCAAAATAATTATACTATCAAGGGTAGTAAAAACGTATAATTTAAAAGTGTAATAGTTCAATAAAAAAATAAATGTATAAAACCCTTCAGAAGACTTACTTATAGAAGTAAGAAAGTCATTTAGACTCGGTAATCATTGGTAAACACTTTGCCGAGGCTAAATAATCATAAGTGAGTTGACAGTCGATTACTCCTAGATCGCTGTGATTATATATATATATATATATATATATATATATATATATATATATATATATCGGATTAAATTGAATTGATTACTCGTTTACTAGGTATATATTTGTATGTCTAACTTCAAGTCACACTCTAACTGTAAGGGATGATATGTAGGTGGAGTGGGATTTCAACCTACTACTTGATAACTAACTGACTGGTTGAAATTCGAACGCTGTAACCATTGAACTCCATTGGTGGGATAAAACATGTGTCAGAATAATAATTAAAAAATTAAGATTATTATTCAATTGTCCTTTCTATTTGTTAAACCTTCTACTCTCTCTTTCTCGTTTACTATCTCTTACATTTTGGCATCATTGATAATTTGTATAATTACTTTTTATCATTTCTAGATGTCTCGTATGAATTGGGATAATGATCGATTAGAAGATCGTCTTGCCAAATGTAGTAAAGATGCAACAAAACTAGCTATGGAACAATTACATGCTTTAACTGGTCAATTAATTAAAGATAGTTTATTTAATAAATTTTAAACTGCTATTTTTGTTGTTGTTGTTGTTGTTATTATTATTATCATACTTCACATCCTGGTTTTTCTGATCATTGTACATTATTATGAATGATTGTATTTTATTTGTCAACAGTTTATGATTTCAAATGACTTTTGAATTAAAACATGTAATTAAATTTTCCTTGCATGATAATGTGAAGAGGATGGTTGATAAAATATGCTTGAATTATACTGTTTATTTATAACAACTAGTTATTCAATCTACACCGATTGATCATTGATTATCAAACAATGTGATATGGTCTAATTCTCTGTGCTCTTGACCAAATTTTATAGATGATATTTTAGTTTATCCCACTAGTTTAAGTGAATCAACATACTGAAGCACTAAACTGACGTTTCGTGTTAGTGTTAACACTTTTCGCCAAGATTTGTCTGTAATTTTAAGGGGTTTGGTCATCTCCAGTGCAATTTAGACCTTATTTACTCATTATTACCGAAACATTACTATTCATATCATACATAACCCAGCAAGATGTCGTGTAATAGGGAAAAATTTCCACACTGGGACTTGATATGAATCCATCAGCATTGTTTATTACACGGTCACTACTCAGTGATCAATTAATTTTAAGATATCTATCTTACCGATCAATCACAGTGGGGACATCTTAGTTGAAATGTTTTTGTATGCTAATTACTTCCAAACAACTTAAAATCATCTTATGTTCATTCTTCTTGTTATCATTAATCCTTATTGTTAGGCTTAAATAGGTTTTTATTCTCTTCACTGCGTAACTATCATCTATCGGTTAAGGGACGAGTATACTGCGCGGCAGTTCGTTCTGTTTTACTTTACGGATGCGAAACTTGGCCATTAAGAGTTGGAGATACTCGTAAGTTGCTAGTATTTGACCACAGATGCCTTAGAAATATTGCTGGCGTCTGCTGGGATCACCGGGTAAGTAATAGTGAAGTTAGACTCAGGGTATTAGTGAATGATGGTAAATCCGTTGATGAGGTTGTGAATCTTCATCGACTGAGATGGCTGGGCCATGTGTTACGTATGACTGAACGCCACGATTACCACGACACGCAATACTGACTAGCGTTGGGAATGGTTGGACGAAATTTAGGGGCAGCCGAAACGTGGCATCAGTCCTTGAAGTCACTTACATGTAGTCTTAACCATGTTGGTAGATGCAGACTGCTTGGTTGGGGTCTGCATGTCTATCGTAACGAATGGTTGGTGACCCTGGATGACATGGCTCAAAATCGATCGCAATGGCGTAGGTGTATATGCTCTTTGTCTTCCCTTAAACTATGAGATTAAAATTATTTCATACCTTTCTTTCTGTACAATATTCTTACATAAAGTCTTTCCTTTATATATTACAGTATTAAGTTAACTGCTTCTATGAATCTGCTGTTCATTTTGTTGTGCTAATGAGGTATGACAACTTGGACCGATGCATCTATGTGCCTGGTCCTACATTGTAACTGACTGACTGTAACCATCATCAAGCATTTATTTAACAGGATTTAATCTAAGTAATTCCATGTTCATTTGAAACATCTTCAAACATTATGGACACTGTCGACAATCTTAAGTGTATTCCCTCATCTCAACTCTAACTTAAATTTTATTTATTCAATCAACATGTTATCGAATTCGATTCGACTTTTCATTAATAAAATTTGTACATTGAAATAAAGACAAAAACCACATATTTTTGTTCCTTTTTGCTTGTTAGCTAATATATTGTTATAAGCTTTATGATATTTGATTTGTGATGTCGTCTTGGAATGTTTATATTACTCATAGTATAGTTGTCTATTATGATTAACTGAATGACATGAATTCAGTTCTTCCATGGATTCTCTCTCCTCAGTTGTTTACAATATAAAATGATCATTAAAACAAGTATAGGTTATCTTCACAAATTGAAATCATGAGTCAATTGAAACTAGGTCACCATGGAAGACCTGGAAGTACTGGACGGCCGTTTTGTCCTAGTATGGGACTCCCCAGCAGTGCGCATCCACGATATCGCACCCCGCGAGATTTGAACCCAAGACCTATCAGTCTCGCGCCAAGCGCTTACTATCATCCTTTCTCTTCTGGTGATCGACTGGATCATGAAGACGTCAGCATCTGAGGGGAAACACGGGATACAGTGGACAGCTAGGATGCAGTTGGACGATCTAGACTTCGCAGATGATTTAGCTCTTCTATCACACACGCAACAACAAATTCAAGAGAATACGATCAGAGTAGCAGCAGCCTCAGCAACAATAGGTCTCAACTTACACAAATGGAAATGCAAGATTCTCCGATACAATACAACATGCATCAATTCAGTCACAATTGACGGAGAAGATTTAGAGGATGTAAAAACCTTTACATATTTGGGCAGCATCATTGATGAACACGGCGGATCTGATGCAGATGTGAAGACGTGGTTGGCAAAGCAAGAGCAGCATGTTTACAACTGAAGAACATCCGGAACTCAAAATGACTGTCAATTAACATCAAACTCAGACTTTTCAGTACAAATGTCAAGACAGTCCTACTGTATGGGGCGGAAACCTGGAGAACTACGAAAGATATCATCCAGTAGATATAAGTGTTTATTAATAGTTTTCTACACAAAAGACTTCGGATCCGTTGGCCAGACACTATCGGAAACAACCTACTATGGGAGAGATGGAACCAGATTCCAGCGGAGGAAGATATCAGAAAGAAGCGCTGGAAGTGGCTGGGACATACATTGAAGGAAGCAACGAACTTTGTCACAAGGCAAGTCCTCACTTGGAATCCTCAGGGTCAAAGGAGGAGAGGAAGACCAAAGAACACATTACGCCGAGAAATGGAGACAGATGTGAGAAAAGTGAACGATAATTGTATAGAGATGAAAGCCAAGGACGGAGTAGGTTGGGGAATGCTGGTCGGTCGCCTATGATCCATTGGTAGTGATAGACGTAAGTAATTAAGTAATATTCCTATAGTCTAGTAGTTGCATATGTAATATAATTAAGAAAACCATCGATCTATAATATGAATTAACTTTAATCTACACAATAATTTCATGTATTTTTTTTCTGTTTAATTTTTTTCTCCTTCAAATCACTACCACTTACTATGATTTCAAATTATTAATTTTTGTTTTAATTAATGTTATAACCCCCGCCCAGTGTCGATAATTCTACAGGACTTCAGCAGAACTCAGATAATCAAGAACGCGTGATTAGTTTGACTAGAACGTAAATATATGTTTCTACACCAAAACCCGAAACAATCCGACAGCAATGAAAAATCAATAATAATAGGGATAGGGGAATATATAACTCATCTAACGCCTGTCAAACTATCTACATATCTGACTAAGCAAACAACCAATCATTATCATTTTATTGCCCCCAAGTACCCTGGTACGGCCGAAAGTGGGGAGAATCCGCTATTCCTCTCTAAATGCTCTCACATGGCCACGCGTATATAGCCTCTGCCAGGAAAGTCCTACTCACTGCTTTCTCGTGACGGGGGGTATTGTCTACGAAATTGAGAGGACGAAAAGCGAATGTCCAGCACTTTAATCGGGTTGGTGGACACAGTGAGTTCACTTAGATGAGTTGGAAAACCCTGATTTTCAAACCAATGGTGCACATAGGTTCCAGTATCCTGAAGAAACAAATATCGTATGAACCAATCGTTGATTATCGGCTACCATGAGACTGTATCTCCTTATGATGCCCCATTGCTTTATGAATTAGACTTTTAGATCAAAGGCTCCAGGTGTGCACCCCCTTTCCCAAAGAAAACCACCTACTTCAGTTTGAGCACCAGGGCACTCACATAAATCAAATAAGTTTTATGTGGGGCGCATATTTATTTGATCCCCCCTTCTCTTGTATTCAAATAACTAACCATTCTCACTCATATATCATTGAAACATTTCAACCATTTATTTATTCGGTAATATATTCCATAATTCTAATTTATTTGGTAAATATTCATTAGTTAAATAATATGAATGAATTGTATTTAATATTTCTAATTCAGCTTTCTTTTCTGTAAATAATAAATAATTTATCTATTAAATAAAATTAAATTAAATTATTTAATTAATTTTAATAAATTTACTTGTTCTAATAAAATAGATTCTTGTTGAATATATAAACGTTTTTTCATTGAATTTAATAATGATTTATCTCTTTTTGTTAATGTTAATAAATCAATTTCTTTGATTTGAAGACTAAATATAAGTGAATAGTTTGTAAATGGATATATATATATATTTTTGTTATTGTTTAAAACTTACGATGATAATTCACTTGGTAATAGTCCACATAATTGAAGATTGGATATTTTTATTGGACTACCATCTTCATTTTGCATCATAGGATTCTAAAGTGATTGTTTTTTTTTAAAAAAAAAAAGAAAAACAAAGCTATGTGATTTATTTGATAAAATACTATTATTTAGAGTTATTAAACTCATTACTTGAGTATGTCGACCGCTTCACTTATCTTGGAAGTCTCATCAGCCCTTGTGGTCTGGTTTGGGATGAAATATCAGTACGGATACAGAAAGCTCAATTAGCTTTTGCTGACTTGCTTCATTTATGGCGTAGGTGAGATATCCGTCTATCAACCAAAGGATGGGTTTATTGCACAGCAGTTCGTTCCGTCCTAATTTATGGCAGTTAGTTATGGCCGGTAAGAGTAGAGGATATTTGTAGGTTACTAGTATTTGATCATAGGTGTCTTCGAATCATCGCTCGTATATCCTGGGACCATCGAGTATGTAATGCAGTTGTTGGGAAACAGGTACTAGGTAAGGTTGGTAAACCAATTGAAGTAGTGAAACTTCATCAGTTGAGATGGCTGGGACACCGACTGCTCCGACGAGCGATGTTTTATGGTGTAGCAGTAGGTTGGAAGAAAGCTAAGGGCAACGAGACCAAAACGTGACACAAATACATAAAGTCATTGACAAGTGGACTGAGCCATGTTAGTAGATGTAGACTACCTGGTTGGGGACCGCGCGATGATAGCAACCGATGGTTAGAGACCTTGAATGACATGGCTTAAAATCGTTTGCAATGGCACAGGCGCATCCACTATTTGTGTTTATATATATTGAAAACATCTTGAACGAACAAATGCTTAGCCAAAATTGTTTCTTGTCAATTTTTTACTTTTATGCAATTCGTCACCCTCAACACATCAATCAACACTTAAGGAATAATAGTTTCATGCTTACCGTAGTACCATACTTGTAAGTACAGAATACATTTATACCTATAAAGTGAAGGATATTACATCGTTTTATTTGCCATACCATGAGGATCAGCATCAAAAAGTCCAATCATTGGAATATTTGGATGTATGTAATTTATTTGAGCAAGAAATTGTCGAGTTATCAAGTCTGGATAACCTTTAGCCTATTTTAAATAACAATTATTAATAGCAGTAGAAATGAATTATTTGGCTTACCGTAACCAATAAACAAGGCTTGAATTTTTCATAGAACTTCTCACTTAAAAGTTTCCGAAAAATCGTATCTTTCTCAATTATCAAAATAAATTGAGGCAAACATTCTGTATATCCGGTTGACAAAAACATAGATGACTTAGAATAGTGATCTACTTGAAGTAATAACCTCATATCCACTTTTAAACAAACTTTCAGGTATACCCTGCAAATAAAAAGAAACGAATAATGAAGATCACTTCTTGTTAACAAGTCGTATGTTATTTCTAGTTACAAAGATTCCCAAAGACACCTAACCAATTAGTTAGTCCTGAGACGAAATCTCGTAAGGTAATTACTTATTGTCAGACCTGAATAAACCACACTTCACTATAGCTGTAATCCATAATATACGAAAAATTTGAGAGTTGGTATCTGTTCTGTAGGTAATATGTCTTAATTTTTATGTGGTTGTCTTCACTGACATTTGTTGGTGTTCATGGGATAGAGGGGTTAGGTCATTTGCGAAGTTCAAATCCTCTAGTCGCATCCAAGTTGTCCTCTGTATTTTTCACATTTTCTCAGATCTCCTTTCTTTGATATCTTGATGAGGTATCCTTCTTTTTAGTCTGTCGATAGCACTTGTTCCTCCCTCCAAATCTTCTTGAATAGAGTGTGAAGCATATTTGCAATTACTTCTGTGTCTGACTTCAGTGCTTCGGTTGGCATATTTTCAGGTCCTTCTGATCTTCAACTCATTATTTGTCTGATGACCACAATTGGTTTCTTTGGTCGTTGACGGAGTGAAATCTATAGGAAGGTCTGTAGTTGCTGTTTCGATGTTTGGTGGATTCATCGGAGCTGTCCTACTCAACAGTCCTTCAAAGTGTTCCACCTATCTGTTCCTCTGTTCTTGAATCTCGGTGACTGTCTTGTTTCCTTTGTCCTTGACCGGTCTCTCTGGTTTGCTATGTTACCCTACCAATTTCTTCGTCGTGTCATATGGTTGTTTGACATTTCCTCTTGTTAAGTTATTTCCGCTGTCACTGCTAGTTCTTCCACGCATTTGTACCTGTTAACTCTAATGCCCCTTTTCAATTTTTTGTTCATTTCTGTTTATTCAGCTTGTGCTTTGAATTTCTCTGTTCCTTTTTGGCTGTTGTTTATTGCTGTCTTCTTGTTCTTTTCTTCAATATTTTCTAGGGTTTCAATCGGCATTCATTTCTTATGATGATGCTTCTTGCGGTCTAGCACCTCCTGACACGTTGAAGTTAGTGCTTCTTCGATCCCTTTCCAGTTACCCTACATAGTAGTTTCTTTTTCTTTGAGTAGATATTGTAAGGCTTAGAACTTGTTGTTGAGTTATCTTGAATTGAATGAGTTTGTCAGTGTGTCAAAGGAAGGCCATGTTAAACCTTTGTAATTGTGTTTGTGCAGTTGTCTAATATTTTTTTAGCTTCAGTTTCGTCTTGGCAAACACCAGGTAGATAGCGATCTGAAGCTATGTCAGATACTCTCCTGATTCTTACGCCTTCCATTGACCCTCTGAATTTTTTACTGATGCAAATACGATCGATCTGGTTATCCGTGGTGTGGTTCAGTGAGACCCATATAGTATTGTTTATACGTTTGTGTGGGAATATTGTGCAACCTATAACCATTTTGTTGAATGCGCATAAATTTGCAAATCTCTAACCATTCTCTTTGCTTTCTCCCACTCAGTCCATGTCGTCTCACGATATCTTCATACTCGGTGTTGTCCATTCCGACTTTCACGTTTAGGTCTCCTATCTGGATTGATAGGTCGTTTCTTAAGCACTTCGCTATGATCGATTGCAGCCTTTCGTATAACTGGCCTTTATCGTTGTCGCTGCTATCATTAGTGGGTACATAACATTCGATAATGTTTATTGTGATTCCCTCCTTTGTTTTGAAAGATGCTTTAGTGATCCTGGATCCATGAGATTCCCATCCTATAAGTCCACTACGTGATTCTTTGTACAGAATCAAAGTAATTCTCTGAATATGTCGAGCATTTTCTTCTTCTTGACCAAAGTGAAGTAGCATCTCTCCTGAATCTATCCTTTTCTATCTAGCTTGGGTCCAATGGTTTTCAATGATTTCGTCAAGTATCTCCTCACTTGCATAGCCATTTGGTTGGTTATCGTGATCTTCCACATTGTTCAGACATGTAATTCATCTATATTAATTGTTGCTCTGGTTGTTAGAAAGCCATTAGCGTCGTGCCCTCCGGATAATCTCGGCTTTCATAACGAGACGTCATAATTATGTTGGATGAAAATCGTTCAACTGAGAGGGTGGAGTTTTAATGGTTTAACTTGTTAATTCTGGTTTTTCAGCACGGTTATTTTGTACGGGATGTGTTTGCTGACCTCATGCCTAGTCCCCTTCCTTTACTTGGGCTTGGGACCGGCGGTAGCATTAGAGAGCTACGGGTGGAGTTTCTCAACAAGGAATGTTGTACAATTTTGTTGGTATTTTCTTGGAATGAACTTTTTTATACTAAGATTCATGGATAGAATGATTGATGATCAAATGTAGTTATTCTACTCCCGAGTACGCAGTGTGTTATAAAGCCAGAGGAATTAGTTATTTCGTTCCATAACTAAAACTTCCCATTTTTACTAAGGTTTTCATGACCTAAATCAAAGTGTGTCTGGACTTTAAATGCATTTGTGAGTGTGGTTAGTGACAACTTCAATTTTGAATCTCAGATCTTTCACTTCTATTCTTGATTTATTCTAGCAATATACGATTTCGCCGACTAAACATTTTCCAGCCATTTTCATCATATCACCTCCAAGTTTAATTACTTTATCGAAAATTCCTGTTAAAATTCAATTACCATAGTCTCATATTTCATAAGGACATACAGTGGAATAGTTGTTTTACGAAAAATCTTGCTTTATAAAAAGGGAAATGTTTGGGTGAATTCCCAGTTATACACACTCAATCAGTTTACCATATTAGTAACCAACATTCAGACCGTTCCGTGGTTATGTTAATTCGTTAGCTGTTTCGCCAAAATAATTAACAACTATAAAGTAAGATATGTATTCTCTCTTTTCAATGGATAATTTTTTTAAACTATAAAAACGAAATCAACTTTTCAAAATATGTCAAATGGTAATGATCTTACCAAATTATTCCCTTTAACGACGTCGCTTCCATACCCAATCCCTAGATAAATATCACCATAAACAATCAATTTGGAAGAAGCATTCTAAAGAAAAAAATGTTATCAAGATAAGCTGTCTTACTATTTTAAGAGCGCACCGAGGGAGGCTAAGCTCCTTACAAATCTTTGATAATAATGGGTCTATAACGGATTGTCGTTTGAATAAAATGGGATTTGAGTAATATATAGATCTAGATAATTATTCTGAAACAGCTATCGGTGTACCGTTTTGTTATGAATTTGTCCTCTCGTACAGCTTCATGGGCCATTTTTAAAATAACCATCAGGCGTGCTTTATTTTGAAAAGAAAGAGAAGTTTTGTTAGTGAACAAGACGTCAGATGACTAAAATGTAGTCACTCTTGATACAGTATAACTAATATATTTTATTTTGTTCTAATAGGCTTCACATGAAAATGATCTAATTGTTTCCGGCACTATCCAACAATCTTACATAGGTAAAAAAACAGAGTCTTGCTAGGATCTATGAATGAACTTTCGTTTGCTGCACACAAAGTTTGTTGCACAAAATCTCAGTCTTCTTAATTGCTTGTTTTAGGTTCAATGTAATATTTTCTTAGGATCATAGTTCTGCCTACACATTCCTTCTGGAGCTGTGAAAATCAAACAAAGTGTTGGCCTTTTGGCTTCATCGTTACTTGACTTGAAGTTCTCATCTCTAGCCTAATATTGTCGTAACGTACATCAAAGGTGGACTTTGTTCCGGTTCCACAGAATCCTAAGTTTATTTTAAAAAAAGGTGATACTTTTCCTTGCTGAGTTAAATTTATAATCATCATTTATTAAGCATCAAGACTATTGATTTTACTTGAATTAATTTCAGTCAAAGTAACATTTAGTGTATCTTTTTTTCAAAACGTACTGTACGTTTACTGGGTACATTGTTTTTTTGTCTGGACCTTTCGTATGTGGCAGTTCACGATTTCACCTTTTTCAACTATCTGTTTTCGACTGAGATCATGAACCGATTGATGTTAGTCCATTATTGAAAACCTGGAAGCACTGGACGCCCATTTCGTCCTATTTTGAGGCCCCTCAGCAGTCCTTATCCACGAAACGGCTGTCCAGTACTTCCAGATTCTTAATGGTGATCTAACATCAGTGGGTTCATGATTTCAATCAAAACTTAACAATCTCCACAACCCCTATACTGATATGAGCTTTTGAGTCTAATTTATTTGAAAAACCCTGATTGGTGACTGGATGGTACGAGAGAAGTGGTTGCCAACGCTCTGGCTGCTATCCAAAGCCATCGCAGCGATGAATACTGCTAAAGAGCGCATTGTCAAGCGCAAACGAGATCGATCTAATGGTTCTCTTTTTGTTGATACACAAATTGATTTGCAGTCACCCAAAATAGGCTCAGAATCAACTCTGTTTATTGTTTAAAGAAGGAAGGATTGACTTCATGAAAGTCCGTCATAAATATAAAACAATAAAGCGAGGTTTCTTCTGTCTCACCCCCTACAAACGGCTTTAGGCACGAAACGCCTTAAAAGTCTAATCGTAATGCTAAGTCTGTTTTTCCAGCAAACAAAGACGACAACCTGACTCCATAAATCATCGACGATCATTAAATGTTCCTAACGTAACTGCAATTACTTCTGCAGTGAGAACTGATAAATGAATAAAAATTCAGAATGTAAAATGTCTTGTTGTCACTAAAGAAAAGCCAATCTTCCTGACAAAAGTCCAGAAATGGATTTTTGATCATATTTATAGGTCAGTCATCTTCCATAGAATCAAGGAGAGTGAAAGCCCAGAACCCTGAACTCGCTTTGAGCATAATGTTTGATTGATGAAAGATCTAGTTAACCAGATTATCCATCAGAATATCAGTGAGGTCACCTTTCTGAAGATTTATAGACATACATATGTGAACTATCGACTCGTAAGCCTAACCAAAGTGGTTATTAAAGTTCTCGAAAAGATTATTCGGAGGGACTTGTTTAGGTGTCTAGAGGATAACCCGCTTCTTTCTAATAGGCACAATGGTCTAAAAACAGGTTGTTCATGCCTCACAAACTTATGAGTAACTCATAAAAATTAGTGTGCTATTAAAGATCAAAAGTTACCTATATATGTAGCTTAAATTTCCTCCAAGAAGGCTTTGATAAGGCTTTACACAACCTCCTGTTATCAAGATTAATTAATATTGGTATTGGAAGACTGTTTAGTTGGATGTCAACATAAAGTACAGGTGAACTCAACCTTGTCTATCTGGAAGACTGTGCTTAGTGGAGTGCCTTGAGGTACAATTTTGGAGACACTTTTGTTCTCAAATAACCTTAGTTTACTATCATCAGTTCTATTATATGGTGTTGATATCAAGACCTGGAGAGGGATAGAAGATGAAGGTGATTGTTCAGTGCTCCAGAATGAGGTGCGGAAATTGTGTGAATAGTTTGAAATCTTATGTTTGCCGATAAATGCTTCCAAGTGCATTATGATGCATATTTGTCACTGAGATACAGATACATACACTGTAAATAAAATCAAATTGCCAGTTGTTCAAACACAATGGTTTGGGAGTCATTGTTGGCCAATACTTTAAAATCACTCCACACTGCCGTGCTATGGCTTCCAAAGGTTACAAAGCATATGTTCAATACGTAGAACCCTCAGCCATGGCTATGCTAAAACGTTTGCGACTCTATTTATGGTATCTGTTTGTCCTAAACTCAAGTAATACGTACACATAGCCAGACCTTGACTAGAGTGAGGCAGTAAGCCTTTGGAAAAGGTTCAAAGAACCTGAACTAAACTGACCCCCGTGATCGCAAAGTTCTTGTATAAACTAGACCTATTAACCTCGTCATATAACGTAACCAGAGGTGACTTGATCACAGTTTTGAAATAGACTAACGATAAATTTACATATGATATTCCATCACCTTTATTGATTTCAAAGACAGGGGATTTACGAGGACACTGAAAAATGGCTCGTGGGCCACAAACGAATTAATCGTCAGTTAAATATCGACTTTTCCATCAATCATCAACAAGTAGAACTGGTTACCCAACGCGTTATTGAAGTTCCATCTGTTGACGTATTCAGAATAGAACTAAATTAACCTAAAGATCACTACCGTTGCTACTCACATAGGCTACCCGGACTTTTGTTCTTTCCAAACTAAAATTAAATCTTATTACCTATATTTTGCATATTCCCAAGCAACCAATAAAGGGGAAATGCGTTAGAAAATAAAGTGATAATACAGAGGAAACGCACCAAAATGTCTGCTCTTTTGCCTGTCCAGAGAAAGCAATGCGGATTTCTCCCTTTTTGTAGCTGTGTTAGAGAAATTTTCTACTTTTCGTCTAAATATTAACTGAGTAATTACTCAGTTTCTGAACCTAATTACCCAGGTACAAAATCCTGAGAACAGATGAAATTTTTTGCCAGAAATTTCTGAGGTTCGTGGGTTTATGCTGACTTATATATTTCAGCTTGTTTATGAATAATTGCTTCAATAACTGATCATGATCAGTACTGCAGTACCTTTATGAGATTCAGTGTCGTTACAATATTCGACAAACCATCATAGATGACTGATTAAATTCTAATGAATTTACAGATTTTAAGAAATATTAAAATAAGAAATTGACTGGTAAACAAGTTTAACTAGTTTCATTACATTTTATGTTTTACTTACTAAATTCTTCTGGCTTCTTTACTAATAGCTCCAAAAAGTGTCTACAAATGTGAAACACAAAAACATACGATTCCTTAGCCTCATTTATATTTCCTGATTTCAGAAACTTCATTACTTTGTATACAATTCCCTCGATCACCGATAACACAGACATATTTTAAAACGTCAACAAAGAGTTCAATCAGAAAAAGATGCTGTGAATTTCGAATGCCGTCACACCAAATCACCTGTTGTATTGGATCTTTTTCTGATTTATAGAACAAAATTTTTCATCACAAAATGGTATAAATCTTCAGATTCCCATTTTGTAGTAACGGGTATAAGGCATATGGTCTATGTTATTCCTTTTCCGGTATACTATTATGAGTGTCCAGTCTTCTCTTGAATGAGTCAGTTGAAAGTGCGGTCACCACTGCTTCTTGTAACAAGTTCTGAGAATTGATGACTCTGTGTGAAAACCTATATGTCACGGGTATTTTGTTACTTCTTGATTTTTCTACTCACCTGCTTTGTCCTCTGAAATATCCCGATCAAGTGGTCAAAGAAAGATAGAATATGTTTGGTCCAAAGTCATTCCTCAGTGTTTTATGCACCGAAATTAGATCTCTCCTTAGTCTGCAATGGGACAGAGTAAAGACGTCCCTTAGCTGCGACCTTCCGGCCATCGACCGTCATCTTAGGATCGTGACTCACTGTCACCCCAAGATCGTTATGAGACCGGACCACGAGTACGGGCACGTCCTCTACGCTGTACCTATTAACCTTTGTATCCCGAACGTGCACATAGACACATTTTGCCGTGTTGTTAGGCATCAGCCACTCTTTAGATCACTTAATCACATCATTTAAGTCTGTCTGAAAAGCACATGCGTCTGTGTCTCCAGTTATTTCTTGCCAGATCTTTACATCGTCAGCGTATAATAACATTGATGACTGAACTATACTTAAGAGATCATTAACATACATTATAAAAAGTAAAGGACCTAGGACAGAACGTTGAGGTACTCCACTAAGTACTGGTCTCCAGGTGGTGCACTTGGAATTTGTTCTCACTTTCTATCTACGACCTACCAGGATATCCTTAAGCCGTTTTAAATGAGGTCTGGCAATACCAAGATTTTCTAACTGCAGTAGCATTTTATTTGTTGGCATCTTGTCGAAAGCCTTGCTGAAGTCTATGTAGACAGCATCTACTGAGTTTCTGTTGTCTAGCACATTTATTCAATATTCCATTACTATACAGAAGTTTTAAAATAACCCATAGTGTCATTGAATAAGAAAAAGAGAATTCAGCGAACAAAATTTTCTTTTCGACGAAATCATTTACTTTAGCTGTACATTCGCATATATAGTTATATGGAAAATGTATATCTATAGAAGGATAGAATGGATTGTATCAAAAAGTGGATTCGACAATAAATAACAAATGAGGTTAACGTACTAATCAAGGGGTAAGGAAGAACAAAATTTAAGGATCATTTATTATTATTACTTTTTACAAGTTTTCTTGATTATCATTCAGTTTATTATTATGACCTTTGTTGTTTTGTCGTTTTTCTTCTTATCTGTCAATTGGACTATTATCTGACCCTTAAATTTTGTTCTTCCTTACCCCTTGATTAGTACGTTAACCTCATTTGTTATTTATTGTCGAATCCACTTTTTGATACAATCCATTCTATCCTTCTATAGACATACATTTTCCATATAACTATATATACGAATGTACAGCTAAAGTAAATGATTTCGTCGAAAAGAAAATTTTGTTCGCTGAATTCTCTTTTTCTTATACAGAGGTTTGTTGTACAAGATAAACCCTTTCAGAAACCATGTTGCTCGTTGTTTAACAGGTTGTTGGTTTCCACAAATGTCATTATGGTATTCTTGACCATTCTTTCCAATATTTTAACTGTAACACTGGTGAGGCTTACAGGTCTCTAGTTCGATTTAAGTTGTCTTGATCCTGTTTTATGTATAAGATTGACGATTGCGTCCTTCCAGTCCATAGGTAAGACACCTTGGTCAAGTGACATATTGAATATCACAGTCAGTGAGGCCACGATATATTGGGCAATATGCCTCAAGATTTTGGGGTGTAGTTCATTCGGTCCTGTTGACTTTTCCGTGTTTATGTTGCTAATAGACCTAAGCACATCGTCTTGATCAAAGTTCACAGTAAGCAGGCTGTTTTTGACCTTATATTTGTTTCTAGTTCTTCGTCTAGAAGAGGGTCCTGGGTGAAAACTGTCCCAAAATAGTTAGCCATAGCCTCTGCTTTTTCCTGATCTTCCTCTATCATTTCAGGTTCACTCCCTTCTTTAATTAGGTTGAGAATTGTATGATATGTCCTTGTTCTGTAATTTATGTCTATGTAATTTTTGTTATGTAATTTATGTTCTGTAATTTATTCTCTTGAGCTGCTTGAGTGAAGAATGTGCCAAATGAATTTCATATTTTCTCTGAGCTTTCCGGGTTTTAATTACACACTTGTTTCTCGACGACTTGTAGCGTTCCATCTTGCTTGCTGTTCTAAGGCTGATTGCAACATTCCAACATTTCTTCTTTTGTCTTAGTGAACGTCAAATGTCTCGATCTGTCCAGGATGGCTCTTCTCCTTCTTCTTCTTCTTCTTCTTCTTCTTCTTTGGGACCGTTCAAGTTATGTATGGTTGAGTTACCCGATTGTACAACTGTCAGAAATGAATCAATGCCTTGATGCACTTGAGTCGATTTTTTAGTTTTTATTCAATACTTCGGATTCGATTACCTCCACGCCTGCCCTCCGTATGTTGAGAAGGGCCGGCACAACAGGCGAAATCAGCCATGAATTTGAATAAGACTGCATGATCGCTACTCCCTAGAGGTAGGAGAAAAGTCATTTGACCGACATCATCACCGTGTGTGAAGATTAAGTTCAAAAGAGACGGGGAGCTTCGTAAGTCCATGTCTGGTGGGATCTCTAATGTGTTGAAATGAAACTAGTGACATTGGGGTTTCTAATAATTTGCAATCAAATGATGTGTTTGGTGACCCAACTTCTTAGTTAACCCAGTTTGTATACAGTGCATCAAAGTCGTCTACTACTCCGCCTTGAGACACTTCGGGGACTACAGCCGGTGTCTAGCATGAATAAAGCAGGAGGGTTGGGCATGGGGTCAGCGACCCCATCCGGTATAAAACTAACTCGATAAAAACGTAATGTGCTTCAGGGCACGCGTTACGTATTTTCCAGCGTGATTATTTCTTATATATGAACTACACATTTTCTGTTTTTCGGGGTCTAGTAGTAGGTTGTTCAGTAAAGGATGGTGAAATCACATGACGAAATATCATTTTACATGAAGTAACTCTATTGTAGTCATCTCTGGGCAATAAGAGTCGTTATTACTTGTTTAGTGTGCTCACAAAACTGAATTATTAGTATGTCACTTATTTAAAAGGAAAAGGTAATGCAAATAACAATTTACATTACCAAGCATGTCTTCCCTGTGACCTGTGTTAGTCCTGGCAATGGTGGTCTTTCAGTTGATCCAACTTTCTTTTGAAAGAGCCGATGAACACCATTTCAGGCGTGTCCTGCATCGTCAAACAACACATCCAAGAAGAGAATAAACGCTCATAAAAGCTATCTCGAAAAGTGTTAGTACGGGTTTTCAGGTGTTTGTTTTCATAACACAAAAGTGATCTGTAGTAAGCTTATTAGAAGAACTTTAAAATAAAACAATACTCAAAGCTGATAACGATATACTAGGACAAATGTTAGTGCTATGAATCGAGGTGGTTAAATGACACTCACAATAAAACGGTCTCTTAGGTAACAAAACGATGACGACTGTTATGCAGTGGATACTACTTGGAAGGACCTTCTGGGATAACCACGACAAATTAGACTCGTTCAATTAACAAATGATTTACTCAAGTTAGATGTGAAGGGCGTTGCTAACTAGCAAACGTTGTAGTCACATCTTAAGGTAAGCACTTAACGTGAACCACCCTTTCGTCTTACCCAGGTATTATGACTACCTTGAGGACCGTACTCCACAAACTACGTTGTTACTGTAATGTATTATTGAGAGTACCTGTAAAGATCAGAGTGTGACCACTGCTATGTGGACAAGCCGAAGAAGTGTGATTCATTGATGTGCGTTGGTTTTCTTTGACCTTGATGGAAATCGGTAAACCGTTTGAAATTCGGTGGTCTGATTGCCAGGCGATTTCGCCGGGTTAAGTTACATTTCTGGAGACTTGAGTATACTACCATTTGGGATTGAAATCAAGTGTGCTGAGGATTTTCGAAAATTGTCTACGTCGAATCCGTTCCACAGAATTGAAGCTGACTTAGAAAAACTAGGAGAATACATTCGTAGTATTTTACCAGATAACTCCAAAGGAGTTCAGGTTAAAAAGTTAGTAAGAATAGGCAAGAGGACCGAGGACAATGTTGAACCCCGTCCATGCAGACTCCTTAAGGTAATCCTAGGATCGGAGAAGCAACGGGATCTCTTGTTAAGTAGCGCTCGTTGTCACGACAATTCTGACATCCGAGTTAGGCCTGATATATCTCTCGAAGATAGAATAAAAAGGAAGAAAGCACTAGCTGAACTTGAAACCCGTCGGCAAAACAGCGAGGAAAATCTCCGGTTAGTGGGTTTTCGGATAGTCAGGTCTTGGAAGCGAATGCTACCAAGGCCTGTGTGGATAGGCTGTTCTACTTAGGAGTTTTATATGCCAACGCTCGTAGTCTACGAAATAAGTTCTATGAACTAGAAGCACTAGTGGACAGGGTAAAGCCACTCATAGTAGCAGTGACAGAAACTTGGTTAGTCGATGACTTAGACATTACTCCAGAATTATCCGGATATCACTGCATCAGGAGTGACAGACATAGATGTAGGAAAGGAGGCGGCGTCCTGTTATACATAGTTAATAGCATAAATATCCGCTCCTCTACTAGAGATTCCCATGATAGCGGTACTTGTGAAGTCATTAGCTGTAAGTTGGCTATCGGATGTAGTACATTTATGCTCGGTGTCATCTATCGCAGCCCAATCTGCCTAGCTGATGACTTTGTTTTAGAGCACATTCATCTTTGGAGTGAAAATACCAGATGTTTGATAATTGGAGACTTTAACGCACCTGATATTAGTTGGACTGATATGACCACAGCAGGATCTATAAACTCCTTTGATAGTAAGTTCCTGATAACAATAATGGAGCATGCACTAGTACAGCATGTATCCCAACCCACACGTTTTGGTGTTAACCAGGGT